TACTCGTTTTTATACGAACTCGAGTTATAGGAGCGTGCGCGCACCCCACTTTTAACAAAAAATTTTATGTATGAAAAATTGCCCCGCCGTGGTGGTCTAGTGGCTAAGGTACTCCGCCACTGGCCCGTAGGTTACGGGATTGAATCCCGGCTGCGGCGGCCGCATTTTCGATGGAGGCGAAAAAGTGGCAGGGCCGTGTGCTCAGATTTGGGTGCACGTTAAAGAACGTTAAGGTAGAAATATCAGCCATCATGCAGACACTGCGAAATCTGGGCGACGATGAAGTATATATAAACATGCTGGAAGAAATCCACAGGGGATCAACTGCTACCATAGTGCTTCATAAAAAAAAGCAACAGAATACCAATCAAGGGTGTAAGGCAGGGGGACACAATCTCCCCGATGCTATTTACCCCGTGCTTACAGGAGGTTTTCAGAAGCCTAGAATGGGAACAGTTAGGGATAATAGTTAATGGAGAGTACCTTATTAACCTGAGCTTCGACGATGACATTGCATTGCTGAGTAACTCAGGGGACGAATTGCAACAGATGATTACGGAGTTAGAGAAGGAGAGCAGATAGGTAGATCTTAAAATTAATCTCCAGAAAACGAAAGTAATGTACAACAACCTCGGAAGAGAGCGGCGCTTCGGGATAGGTAATAGTGCACTTTAAGTTGTAAAAGAATATACTTACCTAGGACAGGTAATAACCGCGGAGCCGAACCACGAGACTGAAGTAACTAGGAGAATAAGAATAGGGTGGAGCACATTTGGCAAGCACTCTCACATCTTGACCGGTAGATTGCCACTATCCCTCAGGAGGATGGTATATAACAGCTGCATCTTGCCGGTACTTTGCTACGGAGCAGAAACCTAGAGACTTACAAAGAGGGTTCAGCTCAAATTGAGGACGACGCAGCGAGCAATGGAAAGAAAAATGGTAGGTGTAACTTTAAGAGACAAGAAGAGAGCAGTCTGGGTTAGGAAAAAAACCAAGGTTAAGAATATCATAGCTGAAATAAAGAAAAGGAAATGGACATGGGTCAGACATGTAGCACGTAGACAGGATAACCACTGGTCATTAAGGGTAACTAACTGGATTCATAGAGAAGGCAAGCGGGTTAGGGGGAGAAAAAAGGTTAGGTGAGCAGATGAGATTAAGAAGTTTGCAGGTATAAATTGGCCGCAGCAAGCACAAGACCAAGTTGACTGGCGGAACACAGGAGAGGCCTTTGTCCTGCAGTGGACGTAGTCAGGATGATGATGATGATGAAAGAAGCCCAGGTTGTCGAAATTTCTGAAGTCCTCCACTACGGCGTCTCTCATAATCATATAATGGTTTTGGACGTTAAGCCCCATTATCAATCAAGGTATGGGAAATTGGCAAGATATAGGACTCTCCATATAATGCTCGATACGTTTTGTAAAAGTGTGCTCATAAAAGTAGATTGCTAATAAAAGTAGACTGCTAGTCTTAGTAACTTCTTGTTTCTTCTAACGTTTTGTATTTTATCTTAAAGTGGCGCCTAAATTGCTTTGGCTTCTTGTGTAGTTTTCATAACTGCCAGATATTGCTAAGTTAGTGCACGCCAGTTTTAGGTAGGTAAAGCGCGGCCTTTGTTTTGAAATTCCTGCCTTCGACGGGAGAAAAATGGCGGCATTTGGTATACTACCAGATTACTAAGCGCGTTTAGGAGTTACGAATGTGTTATGAACAAGTTTCGAAGCAGCTAGCTACAGATGGTTTGCCTCTCAAAGCCTTCCAGTCGTATTGTAGGTTTTGTCCTGGGTAGACATAGTGAAATTAGAGTGCAAGGACTATTCCCACAAGGCACGATCTCCATTTCTTCATGAGGTTCCTTTCAGTAGCATATACTTACCGATGCGCTCAATGTATTTTGAAGCTTCAACGGTACACTCCTGTCTAACCACACCAGCCTTAGGCACAGCGCACTAGGCATTCGGACCATCCCATGCTGCAGTCGTCTCATCTAGTTTGACGTATAGCAGGCAAAACCACGCATAAAAATAAAAAGTCAGAAAGCAAACGGAAAATAGAAAGACAGAGAGAGAACGATATAAAGTGGAAATAAAAGAAAAAAAAATAAAAATAAAAAAGAGAAGAGAAAGAAAGAAAGAAAGAAGGAAAGAAAGAAAGAGTAAATGGAAGAGAAATAAAAAAGGCTGCGCAGCTCCGAAATGCATTCACGCATGGTACTACTATTGTGAAGCTACCCTAATTTCTATTTCAGCCTTTCTCTTCATCTCCCTCCGTCAGCATATGATGGAAACGAAGCCACTTAGTCGAAAGCAAAGCTTACAAATCAGCAACAACCAGAGCATCACAACACCAACACCGCGAAGTTTTAACACCATCGTCACCGCTTCTACTTACAGGCTGTTTTCCGGAATGAAGGACTTTCGGCCGCTCGTCTTGCTACAGTTTATTATGTATAGTGTGTGCGCACAACAATAGGGCCAGAAACGTAAAAACAAAAAATTGAAGTGTTCTTGCAGAAACGCGTGCTTCGGCTTTAACGTTTATTATGTGGTCTCGGTATCCCACAGCTGCCCAGCTCCAGTTAATAAAAGAGGCAATGGACGAATAAAGTTTGTGGGGTAGTTATAGCTCCGCTAAGAAAACCGTCGAAATTTGTGAGATCACGTAGACGTCTTAGCGTGTTCCATTAATATATTGCACGAGTGCATATTGACTAATATGTCGCACGTACGCGTAAAACTTCTGATGCAGCTTTACCAGTTCTTCAACTCCTGTAAGCGACCATATTTGGAAGCCCTAAAAGCAACCTATCGTTGACAGTGGCGGGAACAAGGGGCCGAATCCATGCAACTTTTCTTTCCTAAGGACGTTTTTCCATTGGTGAGCCGGCTACTTAATTGTACATCTCCCATCGTGATAGATTGAAAGGACCTTCTACAAAATATTTCAGCGCAAGATACATTTGTGAATATGGCTTCTGATATTGAAAGCTGAATTTCATGTGACATGCATAAAGGCATTTATCAATTCATGTCTCGCCGAACTATTCATATTCTACCCCTTAAACACTCACTGGATGAATACTCTAAGGTATAGGTTGAAATATTTCAATGCATCATTGATTGCCCTATAAAAACTACATTCATTCATGTTTCCTGGGCTTCAAAGTTTCTCAATATCCCCCGCATTTCATTAAAGTGATTTGCGCGTTCCTAAAATAACGAAGTGTTAGCCCGGAGAGAATAGTGGCAATAAGTTTTATTGAAAAAGAATAAGGATACACATCAAAAGTGTTTTTTACGAGTATGTCTGTGTATGCCTGCACGTGCGTTCATTTGTGTGCCTGTCTTCGTGCGTGCCAATGTGAGTGAACATCTGCGTGCGCTAGTGCATACATTCGCGCGCTAGCCTGCACGCGAGTGTGCTTACGTATTTTTTGTATGTAAACTAACGTGTGCGTTTGTTTGTGTGCGTATAGAGGGCCAATATAAGGTACCATAAGATTAGAAGCTTCTGTATGAGCAGTGACCTTTTTTTTTTAGTTTAGGAGACTGAGGTACGTCGCAGAGCTAATAGAATACAAATCTCGCTGTTTCATCGGGGTTAAATAGAGGCATATGCATTTTTTTTTTCACTCTAGCTTTTTGTTAACACATAAATATTTAACTTGGACGTTCATATAAAAGCGCATCAGGTCGACATATTTCGATGAGTTCATTGTTTAAATCACCACGCCATTGTTAGGTTACCTTCTTTCAGCTCATCAAGACCATAATAAATTTAAAAAATATCATTGTAAACCTTATGCGCTTACATTAGAGCCCTTTTACACGCCTCCGCGTTACGATCAGCCGAAGCGTAAACGAGGTGAAGCGCCCAGCCGCAAGTTTGTACAAATGTATTTAAGCGCTTCCGCTTGTACTTATTGAAGCGCATTAAAGCAACATACGAGCCGCTGTGTTCTACCTAAAGCCTATTTCGTCCAGGCGGTGTTTTTAGGTGACAGAACTTTGTAAAATGACTCAAGAAGCCTGGTAAAGAATCGTACGCATTGTTTCTAATGCAACTACAGTGAGCCAGCGGTCAGTTCAGCGCCGCGCTGGTCAGGAGAAGTCGAGGCGAATCGAGGAGGAAAATGCGCGCGCGGACGAGTGGCGCCGCTTTCAAATTATAGGGGTTTTATGAAAAGCGCCAGCCCTGGACGATCACTTCGGCGTCGTGTTGAGGCCTCATATGCTACGCAAAGCCCAAGGTATATCCCACCCAATGACAGCAAACAATAGCATCCTTAGGTACTAGTACATAGTATAGTGTGCTGGTGTAGGGGGTGTGCCCTCACGAACATGCACTGTACTCTCCTTGGTTGGAGTGCAGATCTCCAACCAATATGCTAGGGCAATACCCAATTCAAGCTTACATATACACTGTTATGGAACAGGCAGTTATAACTTTTGTTTTCCACGTCGTCACTTCGCGACAAGGATATTTATACTTATGCTCTTCTGACACTTTCTAAATGTCAATCTAACCAGTACACATTTTCTCATATTAATTTAAGGCAAATCGACTAGTTTATTTCATTATATTTTCATCTCACTGCGCATTGTAGCAAAATAGTGTAATTGTTCGAATGACACAATGAATGTTTTACAAGGAACCAATAGTTACAACGAACTAGTTAGCGAAAGGTAAGCGTGTATTGTGTGAACACTTTTTTTTTTATTGCGCAGCAACTCCTGAAATTCTACGCTTTATACATTTATCGGCTGTATAGTGTAGACACCACACATTCAAAATTTGGGGAACTTGCCTAAACTGTTCATTTTTGATCTCATTTTTTTTTTGTTTCATTCTTTATCCAACTCGCCTCGAATGTTGCATGGCCTTGATGAAAAAATATATGAACACTAACTAAGGTGTTTGGAAAGCGAACAGAAAAGCATAAGGCGACAATCGCCGCCGTTGCTTGGCATTGCCTCACTGCGGGCGTACTGCTGTGCGAGACTTGTGTAGCTGTGTCACAAGAAGGCAATATTTCCCGACCAGCTTACCTCATGAACAGTTTTTTTTTTTTTTGCAACGCGGCACTTTCTGCTCTTTCAAGCCACAACGAAAGCCTATCAAGATCATACTATGTCCAATCAGAAAAGAATCGGCACAGACAACGAAAGGTTTTTACTACTCGGCGCGTACGATGTGCAGCCGCAGAACCGAGCTATGCAAACGCGCCCATTCCTTCACACCTGGGTCACTCGCCCAGGCTGTGTAGCGCCTGTAGTCCGCGAGATCTGTACAGTTGCTGCACGCCTCGGACAAAGGACGTGACAAAGCGTTCCAGGTAGAAGGGCTGCCGTGGCCAGAGACAGCCGTCCACGAAACCCATGTGGCCGCCGCGTGGCGTCACCACTGCGGCAAGCCAGGGCGACTTGGCGATTTCCTCTTCCGGAAAGGCGCCGCGCGGGTTCAGCGTGTCATCAGACGCCACGAGGAACACCAGGGGGCGTTTCACCATGTCCAGCTGTCCCTGCACTGTACGAGCCAATACAAGCCAGGATTGTGTAATCGACAAGACTAAGAAATAGTAGTTCTTGCAGAAACGTACTACTGGCCCGAATATACATTCAAAAAAAGAGAGAAAAACAATACATAGAAATGAAGGGCACGACATGACGCGCTGCTGGCCATTAATGTTGATGAAAAGCGCAGACTCACAGAGGACAACGATATTACTATGAAAGAATCGAGCGATCCCCAACGAGTATGCATACGATAAAATGAAAAAAAAAACTTCAAGGCACATTTAGGTCACGAGGCTAAGGTACGTCAAGCTGATCCACCTCACAACCAGAGCGCCTCCGAAGGGAAGCTCATGCACAAAACACACGCACTTTCGCGATATAAGCGGCTTCGAACAAGTTTACGATGGCTGCTGATAGGGGTCTGAAAACAGAACACGGAACTATATTTACTGACGCAATAAGCCTTGTCAGCCCACAATGCGTTGCATCTGATATAAAAAAAAATGGAGTATAGCTCGGTCGCGCAGGGATGCGAACAAAGTGGAAATTTCGGCTGCTGTGCAAGACATGCATCGCCAACGCCAGGAGGTGCTGACTTCGCCAAGTTCGAGGAGGCTTAATTGCATGTATTACCCTCTTCCCGTCCGAGAAAACTTCTCTCCCCACTTTCATCTAGGTGCAAGCTTTTCCTCTTCCTACAAAGCCCCATTCGCACCAGACCGCTATGGTCCCCATAGAAGTACATTACAGACACTATAGAACCGCAAGGTACCGTATACCAGTGGGGAATCTGGTAGTTTGCGCGGCTCTGCGTGAAGACCAGAGCCCTTCCCCTGACATGGCTTAAACAGCTCGCTGTGAAAAAGCTAAAAACAAAGAAGAAGCAACAAGAGCGAAATATTCACAGCAAAAGTGAAAATGTGCTCCATGGCTTCACCGCTTCTCGCGATATCTGCCAGAACCATCACTCTGCCAGCACCATCACTCTGCCTTTAACTGTACAGATGGCAAAGACACTATTATCTTGTACATTTGTCTCGGCAATAGACGCTGTCCGTATGATGTTGGTAAAAACATCTAACAATAAAAAACAAAGGGACGTATGAAGTGACCGCCTCATAGGAGCACGGCATCCACAACTAGTTGTTGAGGATCCCTAGTACGGGACCCCATTGGCGTCGGCTGCTGCCTGGGCTTGTCAAACCAAGGCCTTTGGGGCTGAAGATTAGAGCAGTCAAACAGGGTCACCTCCCACTCCTCCCGGGTAGGGTTGGGGATAGGGGGTACAACAGGGTCAGGGGCAGGCCCACACCTATTCGTAGATGTCCGAAGGCTTTTCCCAAGAGCGTGAGCAACTGCCAGAAAAGGTGTAATCGAAATGTTTGCGGGCTGCCGGGCACATCATAGTGTTCGTAAAAAGTCCGAGTAAAAGCCGCTCCTCCTCCTTACTCAGGATTTTGCATGGGTGGGGATATAGGCTGTGATTGAAATGGTAATAGTCAACGATTTCGCGAAAGTATGAGCAAGTTCAGCGAACGATGAACTCGCTCGTATACTATGGACATGCAAATCAACGAGATCAGTAATTTCAAAAGCATCTACGGAAGCGCGGTGGAGTGCACGTGCTTTGTGTTTTAACTTAAATCCGGTAGGAGCTATCAATAGACGGCGTCATCACACGTTATCCTGTGAATCGGGAATCTGCGGATAGTGAACTGCATAAGCACGAATATTACTTAAGGAATTTGATAATGAGGATAAAACCATCATTCTTGATGGATATTCAGACATGAATGCGAAGTTATTGCTGGTTCCTTGCGAACAACATCGATTTGAGGTTGTTAACACGGGGTTTATGTGTGATGCCGAATCGCGTGAGATGTCTAAAGAAAGCAAATGAAGATTGCCTATTCTTTTGTTACAGCAGGAATTTATCACAAACCGAGAGAGATGAGAATATACAATGAATTAATTGATATGTAAGGGTTTAACGTCCCAAAACCACCATATGAATATGAGAGACGCCGTAGTGGAGGGCTCCGGAAATTTCGACGCCCTGGGGTTCTTTAACGTGCACCCAAATCTGAGCACACGGGCCTGCAACATTTCCGCCTCCATCGGAAATGCAGCCGCCGCAGCCGGGATTTGAACCCGCGACCTGCGGGTCAGCAGCCGAGTACCTTAGCCACTAGACCACCGCGGCGGGGCTACAATGAATTAATTAACAACTTGAATACTTATAGGGAACTCCTTACTTGACAGATCGGATACAAGGACCGTAGAAACGAGAGCACAGAATCAAAGTCTGGCAGATGAAAAACAAAGGTAAAAAAATTCATAACTACTCGCAATAGACAAAAAGTTCACGCGGATCTTAGAAATTTCACCATAGTCATATCGCAGTTCTCGTACGTAAAACACCATATGCTATTAATATTAGGAATCTCACCTTGAGGCTGCAGTTTTCGTAGAAATCCTCCACAAAGGAGAACCCGTACACCGGAGCTGCATAGCGCTTGTTGAATGAGGACAGCGTCCAGCAATGCAACACCTTGTCTGCATCGAATTCCCTCTGCGAGGAAACGATGTAAGAAAACGTTTTTGAATGATGCAAGATTATTTGACGTTTACATAGTCCAGTACCTTTGTTACAAAGTTGTAGCATTCGTTCCAGAAGGAAAGTTTGGCCATCTCAAGGTCGTCTGTTTCTGATGGGGGCCCGGTTTTCTTTTAAACGTGATTGCTTTATTGCGATAGCAATTATATGGAGATTCTCGACTAAATTTTGCCGCTGGCGTAGGCTTCAGCGTCGCCGTCACTCCCCGTTCGGTGTCCAACTAGTCAAGCTCTTCTGGCTGTAACACCATTTCTCCGTTTCCGCTCTCCCTGTTTACTACTACAGCTACTACAAGCGTCTACTACTAGAAGAGTTTGCTTAATCATCAACCATTAACGTAATTCATCAGGGTGTAAATGTGCCACTCAACGTCAACGTGTATGGATTCAAGATAAGTGGTGCCATTGCAAGCGCTCGGATACCTATGTACAGTGAACATTCTACGAGTTCTGTAAGGACTCGTTTTATATCGTAATGCACCAATTTCTATAAGGAAGGGAAAAACCACGTTCTTTTTTTTCTGTACAGCGAAAACGTAAGCGACAGAATACTTTCATTAAAACTTAGATTGACTTTGGAGATCCTGGAGGAAGTTTTACGAGATCAACTATATATGTACTCACGGTACCGTACACCATCTCCTCGTTGTGGCGTAGGAGGCGCACCATACGGCGCGTCATCCAAACATTTAGCAGCATGTTCGTGCCCCAGCGGCCTAGATTGCGGCTGGCCAGCCCCAACTGAAAAGGTGCTGACACGGCCACCACCGCGTCAAGCTGCGCTCGGGGACCCCACTGGCTCAAGTACAGCGCCATCTGCAGTCCGCCCAGGGACACGCCCACGCCAACAACACACTCTTGCGGGTACCGTCGGTGCACCTCGTCCGCCACCTGCAAATGAGCAACTATCTTCGTACACTATTCGGATTAGGAAGTATCAACAACTGAAACCTTCGGCGGGCTAATGAGGCACACTTTACTATAGGAAAGACCACATTAATTATGATTAAGGAATTATGCTAATTATGCTGATGAATTAGCAATTATGCTAATTGCTGGTATTACAATGAAGCCGGCAGCCGTTCACTATCTTACATGCGGCTTCGATTCTTCAAAGATTACTCGGAATTGGCCGAAGATGTTATATGAGGGGTGTTACAGGTGGTGAAAAAGAAAAGTCTTCATTCGAACAGCACACTCACTTTTCACGCATTCGGTTCTACTGCATAATATTTCGGACAATCATTGTTTTGACAAAAAAAAGTTAGCAAGGAGTTTTTCCTGGCATTGTACTCGTGTGTTTTAAGGAGGAGGACATTACGCCTAGAAGCCTAATGTGGTACTAATAATTTATGTAGTTTAACACCTCAAAACGACGGTATGATTATGAGAGACGCCATATATAGTGGCGGGTGCCAAAAACTCGACCACCTGGGATTCACGCACTTAAATATGTATGCACGGGCCTTAAGCACTTTCACCTCCGTTGAAAACCCGGCCGCCTTGGCGCGGATTCGATCAAGTGACCTGCTTAAGAGTTGTAAAGTTTAATTTAAAAGAAACGGCGCCTTTGACAGATATGCTTTTAAACTTCTCATGACGGTAAGCTATTATGATATTCCTACTATTCATCTTAAACGATATGAAAAAAGGCCGCCTCGCTGTTTGCCCAAGCTGATTCACTACTTGTTGGTTGAAAGTGAAAGAAGAAATGAATCTTGGCGGTCATCTGTTGTTCATAGGCGTTAAAAAATTGTGTAAATTCGTGCGTTGCATACAGCCACATAAAAGAGAAGAATAAAGTAGGCATGTGAACACTACTCTCAGTTTTTTGCTGCATAACCATGAATAGTATTGCTGAAATCAATTTCTTTCATAGATCAAATCAATATATCTTGCATATAAATTTTTATCTGATCTAATAATGCGCTCCAAAACTTCTTCTGGGAAACACTATAATCTTCCTAGTCTCATATTGTCGCATTTTGTGACGCCGCTGCTACTGTTAATCAGAAACAGTGGTCAATAAAAACAAATTCTTTATATACAAACGCTCTTTTACGTTATTTTTATAATAAACAACACGGTAATTTGCCGCCACTCCCATTCACCGACTACCAAGTTACTATGCCCGCGGCACTATATACAAACTTGGCGCCAAAGCATGGCTTATGTAGGGTATGTAGAATTTAGGTGTCCTGTATTGTACTCAGTATCCGGTGTCTCTTGCTAACCATGACCGAAAGAACAAACGTACCGAAAACTGGTGGCGAGCTCCGAGTGCGGCAAAAATGTGCGAAAGTGATCTCGGTTCAGGCACCGCCAGTGCTACCAATGAAGGAGCCCATCGAGAGATGGCGCCATAGTATTTCCACCCTGATTACAGGCGCTAGGTGAATCACGTAGTACTTTCAAGAATCTGATCGATTTCTCTGGAACCTTCGACGAGTCATTCATACACGCTGACGAGCTTGATCCGTATATTAGTCTTATATAAGTTCTTTAACAATAAACTAAGAAAACTTTTCTGTGAGTGTACGTGCATACACGTCGGTCAAGTTCTTCGCCCCAACATATCGTAAAACAAAAACCCGCGTAGAGCTGCGCTGAATTTTTCACGTTTGAGTGTCGGTATCCCCATCAGTTATATTCATGAACTATTTAAACATAGTCGTACAAAAATAGAGCCGACTTAGAGGAGCTTTAGTCAACAACAGAGTCCTTTATGATGCCTCAAAGCACTATTATGTCAAAGTAGTGAGTATACGGACAAGCACGCTGACAACAGCCAAGAACCGAGCCACATTAAGCACGTTGTCAAAATTTGTGCGTTAACAAAGCGTCAGCATTGGCACAGGCACACGAAGATGGCCATCTATGCGTCATGTGTTGGAGAAGCCACAACACTGTCCACTGACAGTACACAGCTGAGATGTTTTGAGCGTGTCACTGAAATCGGACGATATGTGTTGTCATCCACCCAGATGTTTTGGATAGTGGAAAAACGGGTTCCTGGATTTAACAAACGCTTCGTTTAAAATTAGCGGCCAAATAAACAAAGCTTTAGCGTGCATGTTTTTGGTGATTCACCGGCCGCAGCTATAGAAATATATCCAGGTTTCCAGTGAGCTGGAACTATTGCCAAAAGAATAAGTGTATGAAATATATAAGTACATGGCAAATAGATCGTTCAACGCCCAGAATTCCTTTCGAAGTTCAGTCGCACTGCGAGAATGGCATACGAGAATGACCCAGCGAAAATCCAGTCACCCACCCTTTGCCATCGCATTCCTCGTCATCACGGTAAAGAATTCTATAGTGAACGATTCGCGCAGTCGCAAAGGGAGCTAATCGTGACGTGGCGCTCTCTGTGCGATACAGATACAGCCGGTGGCTGAATCCCATTTCTTTGTTCTGACTGAGTATTAACGCACGTTGCATCAGGTGTCTCGGTAGCGTCTTTGTTGAAAGGTGATGTCGATTAGTTTTCCGCACTTCAAATCACCCCATGAAATAACTTGGAAACAACATCTCGTTCGCCCAGCGACGCTATTATCTGTCTGAAATCTTCGAGTAACGGCGCTTTGCAGTCGGATCAATTCGCGCTTGTGACGTTCCAACAAATGAATAACGACGTAGCTGCAGAACACACGGTACTGGTGAAAAGGGCAAGGTCATGAATGTCCGTTTTGATGCGCTGAGAGCGGTGACGTGCGTAGAAGGGCATTGAAACGTTGATACATCTATATCACACGTTGTCTGTTAGTGTGCGTAAAAGAGCAGCGACTGAAACTTTTCTCATGCTTGCTTACGAAAAGTCGTCAGCAATCTTAACACGAACGCTCCGACATGAGAGATGGACTAGGTTGACTTATTGCCAGCCGAGGAACGCTGGGCACTGTTGCCGAGATAATATCTCGGTAGGCTTAGATAGCTTACGGCAGCATGCATGAGTAGCATCTCGGCAACGGAACCCAAAGCTACGTGGCGCTAGCGTAAATCAAACTGTAAACACACGCTGCGGAGCGTTCGTGCTAAGCTTCCTAAATCCATCGCCCACTAATCGAGCAAACACTAATGCACTGATGCAGCAAGTACACAGACTACATCTATCATGCACTAATGGAGTAAACGAAGACGAACTATTAAACAATAAGATTATTCAATTAGGCTTTCGTAATGCCAACAACCAAGAAAATTAAATCTGTCAGAACTGTAGATGGTACATATAGACTCCAAACGTTTGTTCTTTGGTGACTGAATAAATATTTCAGTGACGTTGGTGGTATCGCCGATTCTGCATCTTATTGGATGCTTACTAGGGTGAATGCAAGAATGGCAAATCCAGTAAGCAAAGCGATCATGACTTTCTTTATGTTAATAAATGACTTCATAGCGCTTTCAGTATTTCATTCCTCGCAGTACACCTACCTCTGCGATGTCGCTGACACTGGCCACGTAGGTGACTCGATGAGTGGTCAGAGGGACGCCACAGCCGCGGCCGTTGACCACCACGCAGGGGCAGCCGAGAGTCGCCAGTGCTGGCAAGAGGGCGCGCCAGGGCCGGCTCTGGCTGTCCGTGAAACCGCCGCCAGCGAGGATAACCACCGGGCCCGGCTGCTCCTCGTTCACCCAGTCGAGTGCCACAAGACCGCGGTCCGAGAGCACGAAGAGCTCGCGTCTGTACGACAGCCGTGGAAGCCAGCTCTGCAAAGGACACGACCATGCACGACTTGAAGTGGCGTTTTAAGTCAGTCCATGCGCACACCCAACTCATAGCATGCATAGCCCAGCTTGAAGGGACCCCGAAACAGTTTTTCAAGTAACCATGGAATTAGTTCACTGGAAGAGCTTACTGCCTCACGAATCCAACACCGCAAAAAGTTTAAGAATCCGTCCAGTACGAGCGGAGTTACAAAATTTGTGACGCGCTGCAATCGCATTCTCTCTCCTCTCGTCCCGATGAAAGCGCTGAAAGCTAAGCAGGGAGGGATGGCAGGGCCACAGAGAAACGTCACGCGCACCCCGGGACCTTGATTACTTTTTTCTTTTTTTCTTCGAATGAGTGGCCTTTCAATGTGATCGCGCGCGCATGCGTGTACAAGTAGCCGCCTATACCGCGGCGATCTCTGTAACGAGCGAACGCGCCATAGTCAAATAAGCCAAGGGCTGATAGAGGGGCTTGTTACGTGTGATTTTGGGTATATTGCGTGATTTGTTGAGACAAGAGAAAGCAATTTTTAGCTCACTTTGATATCTTTTGTGAATTCCAGGCCGCATGCTGTGCTATATAATTAGCTCGCGCGTTATCGGGAGCCTCTACTACCGATTGGCAGCGTTTTACTGACCATGCTCAGTAAGTGTTGCAGGGCCCCTCTATTTTCCAATATATGGGACTACCTTCATAAGCGTACTCAAGTCGGGCCCGAAGATGGTGAACACAGGCGTGCGTAGGCTTCCCTTCCATAGGGAGTGGTGTGAAGGTTCGTCGCAGCGCCTCTTCCTATAGATAGTATTGTTTAGCGCAGCTCAAATTTAGCGACAAGAAAAGATGTGATACGGTCAAGAAAGAGAAGCTTCCACTGCTAAGCTTACCTTCTGCCATTTTATCATGCAGCGCTGCGCTCACTCAGTCAGCCGTACCTACCTCTCCGCAATATGTAAATGTATGGGGCTGACTTGACGCCCCCCCCCCGCTCTGACTTGCAGAGCCACACTCCCTATTATGTCAATGTATAGAGTTGACCTTTTCACCCCTCCCTTGGGTGGCCAGGGGGGGTCGACCACCTTCTCGATCCCCAGGCGTACGCGTATGGTCGTGAAACATGCATGATGCCCCTGTAGAAAGGGGGCGGGGGGGGCACCGCCTTTTTTCACGGTATGAACCAAGCGACAGCGAAGCGCGGATCGCATGACACATGCTTCGCAACGGATCCATCCGGAAGTTTTGGTCCTCGGACTTCCGGGTGTAAAGATGGGAGATGAACTACTCTTGGGACCAAACGTCAGGGTGTCGCGGCCCCTAATGTCGTCGATATTAAGGGCCGCGGTAACAGGGGCTGTAAAATTCTGCAAGATGTATTTAAAGACAAATTTTCTGCTGACAGTTTTAATCACTCACCAATTCAAGCCGATCCTGGTTATCACCAAATGAAAGCAATAATCATTGAATACGGCCTTTTTCACCTCGTGCATACTTTTGTCATGAAAATGAAAGCGTAATCAGCTGGCATAAGTGAAATCGCTCCCCAATTTCTCAAACAGACGTGCATTTATTGTTCAATCAATTTTTCACAGCTTTATTTTTTTTAACATTCATTGCAACATGTCTCATTACCCACTGACTGGAAGGCGGGAAAGTTGGTTCTTGTGCCTAAAGCAGCTGACTCATTTAATACTTTTAATTACAGGCCCATTACTTTGACTAGTGTATCATGTAAGCTTCTAGAATATATCTATTCTAACTTAATTTTATTTCTCGAAGAAAATATATTCGTTCACAACCGTTAGCCTGGTTTTAGGAAACACTACTTATGCAAAACCCAACTACGTCTCTTCACCAACGCCTTATTTTCATCATCTGACACTGCCTCGGTTATCGATGGTATTTTGGTTGATTTCCAAAAAAGCTTTTGACACCGTTTCCTCCAACTAAAACTAAGCATAGCAAATATTGACTCAAACTTATGACAGTGTATTGAATTATTCCTTTGAACAAAACTCAACAACAATTGCATAATATGTGAAGTTTAATACCCCAAAACCACACTAAGATTTTGAGATACACCGTAGTGATAAGTTCCAGACATTTCGATCGCCACAGTTCTTTAACGTGCCCCCAAATCTGAGCAATCGGGCCTACAGAATTTTCGCCTCCATCGAAAATGTAGCCACGCAGCCGGGATTCGATCCCGCGACCTGCGAGTCAGCAGCCGAGTACCCTAAGCACTACCTAGATGATTGCGGCGGGGCAAAACAACAAGTAACAGTTAACGGTCATAACTCACGCAATTGTTCTGTAGCAACTGGTATGCCGCAAGGTTCCATCCTTGGACCCTCACTCTTTCCAATTTATATAAACAACCTTCCATCCCACATTACATTGACAATCAGGCTCTTTGCCAAATATTGTGCCATCTACCGATAAATAACTAACCCGCATAATTCATCACAACTTCAATCCGATCTTGACAACATTACCTCGTGGTATTCACTCTGCAGGGTCCATGAATCCGAATACTGACAAGTGTAAAGTAATAAAAAACTCTGTACTGACTGCACTATAGCCCCAATATTCAATTACTAATTTTTAGTTATCTGTTGTCACTACAATATCTATGCGTTCACATCGATAACATTTTAACATGGAATAGCCATATTACAAGTGATCAACAAGTCAAACCACACTCTTGGCTTCTTGCGCCATAAATTTTCATTAGTACCTGTTTCATTAAAACTACTTTATAAAAAAAGACTAGTCAGATGTAAACACGAGCACACTTCATCAATCTAGGATCCTCATTCTTGACCACATGTTAACGCACTAGAAGCCATTCAGAATCGCAAAGCTCGTTTATTGTCTGTAATTACTCTCGCACTGCTAGTATCTCATCAATCAAAACTTCTCTTTACCTACTCCCTATTCTTTCTAACTGAAGGAAGCAGACCCGCCTATATATGCCTCTTCCACCATTTTTTTTTCATGAATCCTGAAATAATGCCCATTGCTCTTGCCACATTCTTACGTTTCATCTCGCGTAAACCACAACTTCAAGGTTCATATGCCATTCTGCCACACCGACATCTACTTACACTACTATTTGCGGAAGACTTCATCTGAATGGAACCACATCCCTGCCTACATCGCTAGCAATCCCGATCATGCATCATTCAAGACTACCATTTCTGACTGGTAGCACCACTCCTCTCTGTAATGCTGCAAATGGCACTGAGAGTATTTAAATAAACAAATAACTAGATAAGCAAATAAAATGAATAAATAAGCGGCAAGGATGGAATATCACCAGATGGAATGGTAGCATAGGCTAGAAAAAAAGCGCTGCCTTTATTTAAACTCGGAGTGGTTTAGGTGGCCTTTTAATGTGAGAAGAGAAATGAAGCTGCGTTGAAACTTCACTGCCCTCTTAAGTATACTCTGCCCACGCCTACGCTTACAACATAGTTTTAAAGCACATTCTTTATGGGGAAAATATCCCATAAGCTCTAAGTTCACGCATTCATTTTTTTTATATAACGTCATCCTGACAATTGGTTGCTTTCCATTCCTGCAATTTTCATCTTGCTTATCACGATTGCTTCACTCTCGTAAAGTGCGCTGTGCAAAATTCATGGTAGATCACGTGCACTCTTTGATAAACAGTGGTACGTAGCGATTGGTTTTGATTTTGGAAGGCGTTTTTATCTTTTCATCTCACGATAATCAGATGGCAACCATAGTATGAACGACGAGTGACCAAATTTTTACGCACGCCATAATTATTTGCGACCAGTGGGGCGAAACGAACATAATCCAATCAAGGAAAGACAACCAAGTGCTGACATTCTTCCTTCGTCCTGGTAAGCTTGTCTCACCCACATTGCCAGGAGACACTTGATTTACTAGACCAGAAAACCATTTTTCTGAAGCTTACTCCATGGAAGTCTTAAGATCAACTACTGGTCATGCCCTTTGTGAATTTCTCGGAGAAACAGCAGATGCGTTCTGGCTATTTAGCCATCGATTTTAACTAGTGCTTTACATCGTTGTATTTGTTAGTGTACGTCTTCAAAAGCACAACATTATGAAGCATGCCACTTTCAGGGACGCCGGTTTGACTTCGATTGCCAGGGATCCTTCAATGCCCACTGAAATCTAACACCACCCTCCTTCCCTGCCTCACTTTTATTTAAGTATGTGGCCCCCATCTACTTGAAATTGAGTCTAACCCTCGAGCTTAGCTACGCGACATTTAACGTGTTAGCGATCAATTAAACAGTGCCACTTTACGCCTGCACCGATACCCCTGCAGGTCAAACATTTAGGCGTTCGACTTTCATTAAAAGCAAAATATTCAGACTCAAAACAAAACTTCAAAAATTCTTAAAGAGTATCGCTTCTCTGCGCTGGTCATTCCTGAAAATTTACGCCCAACCTGCGCTATCATCCGAAATAGCCCGTACGCTGCGTACGAAGCGCCATCTTCTCTCGCGCATTGGCACACTCACGTTGTAGAGGCAGCCGACGAGAAACTGCAGGTTGCCGCCGAAGCACCAGATCGGGGCCCAGTAGTAGCTCTTGATGAATTCGTCCATATTGGCCGAAAGGAAGCGGCGCAGGCGGCCGGCGCGGCAGACGAGCCGCGGCTTGCGCACCACTACCAGGATATAGTAGACGACGTACACGGCACACGAGACGCACACGGCGAGTTCGGCCCTGGTGGACAGCTTCATGCGCGGTACGATGGTCATTGTAGCGTATGATCCTCGCTCGTCGCCTCTCTTCTTAGCACTATTTCGTTCTACGGCTCGGGAGGGTCACGTGTCGACTGTTGCGAATGGCGATGATAGTGAATCTGGTGACAGCACACCTTTGGGTATACAAGTGAGTGTCACAAACTAACGTGACTCTTTAAAGCGAAATTTGTTTTATCTCGTCTTTCGCCATCAGCCGTGTTGAACACACGCTTAAGAACCAGGAACAAAAACAGCAACACAGACATACTTCAGATATACTGGCAAGTCTCTATGAAGTTTGGAGTAAAAACGAACTAGAAAAATAGGACCGCTTGGGCAGAAGACGCAATAGAGAGATCGGAGCTGATCGCACTGCTATGCGCATTGCTCATTTTAAACGCCAACTCGCCACTCCGCGTTCTAAGACGAGAGCGGCGGTTTTTTCCTCTCCTCGTGAACCATGTCGGCACGAAGCGCTGGAGCCTATCAGTATTTCGCACTTCTTGGCTACACGCTGGCGTTGCCGCTTTCGCTGTTGTGAACACACGAAATTAAGTGTGATCGGTTGATCGTGCGCGATATTCATTCGATAAGAGGAAGAACGGACGGGCGGCTGCATGGAACTACTGTCTGCGTCACAGAAGTGCGCGAGGTGGGCAGGAAAATAGCAGGACAGAATATTGTGCTCGTTTTTTTTTTGTATTGTGAGAGCCTTGTGATTGGTTTTTAAAGCTTAGCGAATTTCCCTCACATTTGTTTTTCTCTAGTTCGTTCTTTTTCCTTAGAAGTAATTATAACTAATTTAATTATTTTTGTATTTAAACAGTTGCTTCTTTTTTTCTGCCCTCGTTGTCTCGCCCCCTGAATTTATTGCATCCCACGCCGGCAAAAGTGAACGTGCTGTGGAAGCAGATTATAAAGAAGGCAATGACGATGAAGAAGGGGAAAATAGCGTGCGCCGGTTTATGTTGACAATAGTTTTCTGTTTCCAACGAGCAGATGACGGCCTGCTTACAGAACTCCGCTGTTATATTGGGTGGAGCTCGCTCTATAGTGCCGCAAAGCCGGAATGAACAGATTAGCTAGTATTTGACCTAATGTCGCTATGTATTTGTTATATAGTAATGCCAACCATTTGCTGATGATTCGATTCATATATGGGGTTCAACGTGCCGAAACACCCATATGATTACGAGAAACGCCGTAGTGGACGACTCCAAAAATTTCTAACACCTGGGGCTCTTGTGAACCATTTGCTAGACATACTTTGCTTTTGCTAGCAGCATTAAGAACTTTGCTAAGCTTGGCTTTCATTCGACTGTTTCACCGGTTGCCGATGATACGCACGTGTTACGCAGTTATCGTGAGAATGTCTCATACCCCTGTCACACGGGCACTTAAATGTCTTTTAAGTAAGCGGTCTTTTTCCGAAAAGGAGTTCCTGACCGCAGACACACGGCACAGAGCGAACTCCTTTTCAGAAGCGGTCTTTTTCGTAAACGGAGTTGGTCGATCTCTTTTAGGGCTCCGAATGAGTAGCCTCGAAACCAGTGGGCGCCAGCAATTTTCGAGTGGTGGGAAAAAAAAGAGCGAACGTTTATTTTTCTGTCACCAAAACTCTTTGTAAAAACGAATTTCATATCCTGCGGAAGGTGTAATGAACTCTTTTAATGGTTATCTTCTTTTCTATTCTCGTAAGCAGCTACAACGCGTCGGCAATATCACGTGGTGACGCTCGGCCTCGCGCCGCGCCATTTTGCACAAGCGAGGAAAGCGTGGCAGTCGTGTGTTTGCCCGTCATTCAAGTGGTCCGAGTCCGAGCGTCTATGGCCAACTCCGCAGATTAACTCCGCGTCTGCCTCGCTTTCCAGAGCCAGAAGGCAGGCCGTGAGGCTTGCTATCCTCGCTTTTTCTTCCGTACGGTCGCCCATAACATGTTGAGAGCAGTCGAGAGCAGCGAAAAACAAATACGGTAAATAAAAGCCCAGTGGTTCCAGACGGACTTGTGCGCGTCGCTAGTTATGGGAATGCTTCATGTCTCACTTGACTAGAGGCTATACGAGACGCTTTCATTTCTTTCACATTACTAGTCACATGACAGCTTGACTAGTTGTCACGTGCGTTGTGTGATTTTGGGGATGTGTTATTACACTATTTCACGAGATAATCAGCCACGTAACTAGTTGTCTTGTGACGCAACGTGGTCTTACCGTCGTATTTTAGAACGTTCTCTCACTCAAGTGCTTCCCATTGACTTAAAAAGTCGACGGGAGCGCCGTCTCTTGGCAGAACAAGTCAATGCATATCGGCAATAATCTGCAGTTATTCTTGAGAAGCGCCGCGTCCGTTTCAGTCGAACAACACCACACTGCTGATCTCAGTCAAATGAAGGACGGATTTCAAGTCGAGGAGCGTTTCTGAATACGGGGGTTAGTCATGTTACGAACGCTTCAATGATGTTGTGTGATTGTATTGACGTGACGAGCTGTTACGTTGTCTTTCAGGAGAACGTGTCATGTGAGTGTAGTCTTGTCACGCGACGTGACATGATTTTATCCACGTGACGGTACTACGTCACTTTACACTTGTTGTAACCTGATGTTATCGGAAAGTTAGGTGCTTTTATTCATGTGAACAGGTGTTACGTAATGTTGAGTGATTTTATTGTCGGGGCTAGACGTTACGAGACAGTATAGAAGATTTTATTTACGGGACGTCTTGTTACGTTTACAAATGACTACTAGTGTGACGTGTTGGTATGTGTTAATGGTGGCGAAGCGCTTAAAACAACTGGGACTTTCGGAAGGACACCTGTGGCGTTGTTTTTGGCGACAGAATGTCCCTTCACTAGCTGTTCTGTATAGTTCAGAGAGAGATTTGAGTATACTTTTGTGTTAGTTCTTTATAGTGATTTCTAACCATAAACTGTTCCAATGTATGGTGATGTAAAAAATGGATCACATAGCATGAGACGATAAGTGACACTTCACGTGTTTGGCATGTCAATAATTATCACGTCGAACGTAAATGGCGTAGGGTGGTTGAAAGAAGTGGTTCTTAAGAGATGGATAGTGATGAAGCTTATGCAAAGTTTGAAACGGCCAAATATGGTTTTGGATATATGGGTCTTTCAGTTCGGCACGGGTTTTGTTTAGTCAATTTACAGACGCTTCTCGAGGTTGAGTTCTCTGAAACACAGAGCCATGCAAGAATTTCATTTTTGTGAACGTGTAGGATTGATGGGGAACTTGAAATCGGCTCAGACTACTGAATTTTAGGGCTCATTAAAGTATTAAGAGTGAGATTTATTGCGCGATGATAATATACAACTCATTTAGCGAAAATTTGGGTGTCGGTGTTGGTGTCTTTGCAGATGACCAAAAAATTATTCATAACGCCATACAAAAATGGCAGTCATACCATGTCATTCATAATGGCGACAGAAGCCGCGAAGAAGTGTAATTCGTCAACGGGTTCTACTTTCTTTTATTTATTTTAATTGCTCGACTGATTTTCACCGTCGTGTCCCCAATATATATAGGAAAGAAATGTATACCTAAGGCTTGTTTTTCTGTGTATTACACAATATTATTGAGATCTAACAGGCAATAATACCAAGGAAAGTATAGGGGAAGATATTAGACCAAATGGCAAGGCAAATATGACAAATAAAAGTGGGTGGAAAGATAACTTGCCGTGGGCAGGAACCGAACCTGTGACCTACGAATGACAAGTTCGCTGCTCTACCACTGAGCTGCCACGACAACTATCCCCCAGCCACTTTATTCGGTTTAAATGTGGATTTGAAAGTGAATATATATATATATATATATATATATATATATATATATATATATATATATATATATATATATATATATATGAAATGCGTATCGCCACTTTGACTTTAGACAGACAAACTCGCTGCCTTAGATGTGTTGTGGTGATACTTATCGCACGGCTTCGTCGTCTCAACAGTGTACATCTCACCAGGAACCTCGTGGACTGGCGTCGTGAACTTCTTGCTGCACAACTTAACTTCCGTGCGATGTGCCTGCAGGAAGTGCCGGTGATCGTCACTGAAGACTTTTACGTTAGTGTACTTCAATGTGAGAACCAGTGGCATGTCGCGTTACTGGATGGCGAACTTGGACTTCGCCTCCTGTTGAACGTCGCTCAATCAACTATAGACAACAGGGCTAGTTTGATATTTTGCTTACAGTAATACTGTGAATTAAAGCACAATCGATCATGTTTACTACGCTTTGTATGATTGCTAAATCTGCTAGCGTCACTACGGAAAACAGCCCATTATATTGCTATCACATTCATTAACCCGGTCTTGTGCCGAAACTGTGACTTTATTGAAGTCCGCACACTTATACAGCCACTGCGCCACCATAGGCTCCAGGTTTTTGAATGTGTAGGAGAATTCGCATTGTACTATTTTTAGAACACAATGCTGCGCACTGTTATGCCTGCGAGTCCATGCCTCTGAAAAAGGCAATATGTGTCAAGGCCAGCCCGCGAGCCCGCCTGACGCGAACAACTCAACGGCGTCAACACGCGACGGCGCCTTTCTGGCGCGCACGTGCAGTGAGTCACTCGAGCAGCCCGTCGAGCCAGCAACCGGCGCCTTCCTGTCTGGCGGGTCTGACGCAATGCCTAGTGACGTCACTCGTCCTTGGGTGCAGCCACCTGCAGTGCAGCCTCTCCAGATTCGATGAGAAAGAATGACGCGGGCCAGCGGCGACCCCATTGGAGGAGTCTGACCTCACGACCAGTGGCGCTTCTGGTTGCACATTTGGTTATTGAAAGAATGCACCCGATGCATATAAAAGAAGCCCTGCGGCGCGTCGCGAGCAGCAGACCTATTTGAGAGCAGACCTATGTGTTAGCGAGGAAGAGCTCGGCTCTTCGGGTCTCTAAGCTGTCGGCCCCTGTGCCGAATTTGTAACGCCTCTGCATATATGCTGTACATAAACCTTGTTTAACTCACCGTCGTCTCGTCCGCTCGTCTATCAGCTGTGCGCAGAAGCAGTCGCGAGCTGAGACACCTACGCTACCAAACGGTCTGCTGACCTTCCCGGCGGAGTTCGAAGCAGTGGCTGCCTTCGGGACCGTGTTGGCGTCG